TTTTGGGCGTCATTCAGTGAAAGCCTAAAATCCGTTCTTAAATGGCTTGGCAGAAAGGTGTAGTGCCAAAGTTTGAAGTATTTTACTGTATATTGTAAGGGTTTAAATGTGATGCTTTTCTACCCAGGGTGGAGTTGGTATAACGCACGGCCCTTAATAGGCAACGCCTATTTATACGCAATCAAACTAACCCATGTATGTGTCTATCCCGCGCTTGAAACAACCCCAATAATTTGCTCCATAAATCAACATCTTTATTTCCAAACCAGAATTAACCCATTGAGAATTGAGTGTATGTATTCATAACATCTTTGTGTGGTCACACTGATAAAAACGTGGTTTAAAGGAAACTAGTAGGATAAGGCTTACCATAAACTATGGCAAGGGAAAGAGCTCCACCTGCTGACAGGATTTAGAAGACGTCTTCTGTACCCACTTGTGTAAAAGACAGATAAGAGAGGTTGCTAGGTTGCTAGAAACAATGCACGTCTCTCTAAACTAGTCATTCGACATTTACAGATTTTTGTGAAGTTCGCCTCTACTATTTTATGTGATCATTTTCTTTCTATTCTTGCCCAAGACAAGATAACTAATTTCATGTTATATATAACTGGTGTTTCCCCCTTGTGCAGGTGCAATTGTTGTCTTATTTATTCGTGTACCACTAGTGTTTAATTGTTCATGTGCCACTGGTCTCCCCTTGCTCGTGTACCGCCAGTCTCAAATTGTTTCTGGTTTTAGTCTTAACTATAAGTATTCCCATGTAATTTGTTTGTGATTATCGTGTTTTACTCCCGTCTCCTGTTTTCCATTGATATAACATTTGATTTTTTTTACCTTGTAACTCATTCCTCTCAGCGTTAGGACAAGATTATTGGCATCAATCTGAACCTTTTCTGGGTTGGTTTTGTTTTAGGCCTTGTTTGTTTGATCGTACCTGATCAACCAGGCTGTGACTCATACGTCAGGCTGCGAGCAGCCGCGTCTAACAGCCTGGTTGATCAGTCCAGCAACCAGGAGGCCTGGTCGACGACCGGGCCGCGGGGACACTAAGCCCCGAAGAAGCACCTCAAGGTAGGGCGTGCGCTGAGCGACTCCTTGTATATAGATTTTGTAGCAGTTCTTTATTAGTCAGCTTTTTTTAAGAGCTGGAGATTTGCGGTTGTTGTGAGCTCCTGGTGACAGATTCGGTGTAATGATTACTTCTAGATTAATTTCTTCTTTCAGACTACAGGAGGGTTCCATCTCTCTCTTCTGATACCTCGTGTCCGGCCTCCTGTCTTCTGTACCTAACGTCATTGCTTTGCATTTTATTGAGTTGAAGTCTCGTTGCCACTTGTTAGATGATACTTGCAGTTGTGTCTATGTCTTATGATCACAAGAATAAGGATCACATAAACAACATGTCATAAACAATCGTACTTAGGGAATGTGTCTATTCCTTGAGTTCGGTTGCTTTGTTTTTAATTTCGTCAGCATTTGTGTGCATGATTTTAAATCTCACTTTCTTCTGGGAGGGCAGGGGACGTGAGGATAGGTAATTAGTTAAAGAAGCTTAATGGGTAGATTTGAGCACGTATGAAAGTGGAGGCTTGCAAAGATTATCCCATCAAACATGCAACGCAAGCACATCGTTACTATGCTGCAGCAACCTTTCTATACTGTGTGTATGTTGGGATAATGTTGCTGAGATCTGGCTGAGGGTTGAGTATAGAGAACGTGGGCTCTCGACTCCCCGTCCTGTCTCTGAGCGTTTTTGTCTTGAATCTACATTTCTCGTTCCTTCGTCATATGTTTCGGAAGAACAATTTCTTTGTACCTTGCCAAGTGCGGAGTTCATTCCTCTTTCCCAGGATGATCTGTGTTTGTACCCTACCTTGAAAACACAATGTTTATCAGCCAATTCAGTCTCTCTTTTTTCCTTGTGGCCCATCATGGAAAACTTTGTTAGAACACATTATTGACAGATCAATTTTGTTAAATCCGCCGTTCCGTTCTGCAAGTTAGATCCACCGTTCTCATTGATTTGGGTGGGTTTTTCTTGTTTGTATAAAATTGTCTGGTTCCCTGCTGTCTGGTTTCCTGTTGCCTGGTTCCCTGTTTGGTTCTCTGTTGTTTGGTTCCCCGTCATCTAGTACCTCGCTGTCTGATACTCCGTTGACTGGCTCCCCGTTGTCTATTTCTCCGTTGTCAGGTTCCCCGTTGACTAAAATCCCTTTGGCTCCCCCGCTGACTGGTTGCCCAATGCTTGGAATGATTTATATAACTTTTGAGGATATTTGTTTCCTTCTTGGCTGACTTCAACTCATTCTTGCTAAACGGTTTTGTGTATGTACTTACCTACGTGTATCTGAATGATTGAGCTTCAGCTGTTGTGCCTTGCCTTTCCGGTCGCAAGCTGTTTATTGTAAAAAAAAATTGATTTACATATACTTTATCGTTTAAGTGGATGCAGTAGGCTTCACCTGCTTCTCTTGTCTAGTTAATTTAACTGTTTTAATATAAATACATAAATTTATATTATGTATTTATACGTTTCCCTCTCTGCCTGTCTCTGTCTCTCTGTATGTGTCTCTCTCTCTTTCTCTCTCCCCTCATGCCAGTATAAAAGAAACATGGCCATACTATAGAGTTTAAGAGTTGAGGGTTGGCGCGCCTTAAAATACTCGCTCACCAGATCGAGAACAACAGTCTTGGCAGGACAGTACAAGCTGAAGACGGAGGAGCAAGACAAGACTTTCCCACCGCTCGCCTTAGGAGGGAAGGGCCTATTACCGCAGCCCAAGCGATTGATACTTGCTGCATCTTTCCTGAGTTTTACTTTAAATTTTAGTGATTCTACAGGGTACACTTTCCTAAAGAGATAAACAAAAACAAAATCAAAAAATGTCCAGAAAAAAAACTATTTGGTGCAAAATACTTCCAGGAGTGGAAATATTATTTAAGAGGTGTAACTTCGTTGCTCATGTGTGTGCACAGGTACTCGCAGGCACTTTTCGTCCTGGAATGGGTAGGTGGTTGTGTATTTAGACTGTTGGTGCAGGAGACCTGGAGGGTTTTCAGAGGAGGAGGGGTGTTTAAAGGTGTAACTCAAGGGAGGAAGGGAGGGTATCTTGTTGGAGAAAGAGGGATGGGGAAGATCTTGAGGAAGAAATGGAGGAGGAATGGGGCCTTGAAAGATGAAGGGGACGGGGGAGGGGGGGCGGGGCAGGTGCTTGTACTAGCACCTGGCCCCGACACCTGCTCTTCAGGGAAGGAGGGAAGTGACTGGTGTTTTCACATTTTTTTTATGAGGTAATTAAACCGAGTAAGTTGAGTAGGAGTGCCAACTTATTTGTTCTGTCTCTCTCTCTCTCTCTCTGTCTCTCTCTGTCTCTCTCTCTCTCTCTCTCTCTCTCTCTCTCTCTCTCTCTCTCTCTCTCTCTCTCTCTCTCTCTCTCTCTCTCTCTCTCTCTCTCTGTCTCTCTCTCTCTCTCTCTCTCTCTCTCTCTCTCTCTCTCTCTCTCTCTCTCTCTCTCTCTCTCTCTCTCTCTCTCTCTCTCTCTCTCTCTCTCTCTCTCTCTCTCTCTCTCCCTGAGCTTAATACACTCACTTCAAATTCAAAGATACAACGCAGAGAGAGCTCTTAAGATACATTAACAAACTTCAACAAAGCACCTCACTGTTAATTAGGATATTTAAGAAGTAAATGTTTTATATTCCCTTAAAATATTTTTCATTTAAACTGGAACGAGAGAAGTCCAATAATGAGTTAGAATGTCAAAGAAAGCATAGTAAGGATTAGAAGTACAAATTATTAAAGAGTTAGTTAGAAGTGTCAAATATCAAAATCAAAGTAATGTATATCATTGACACGCATTAATGTCTTGCAAGATGTTAACAGTAAGTTTATTGGTCTTGTCATCAAGACTCGTGGCAACCTGTGCAACTGTATAGGTTACCAAGATCCCTTCTTGCCTTGAGGAGCTAAGCAGGTAATGGCCGCGTTAAGGAGTGAAATGGAGTAAAGATTCTGAGTATTTGAGCATTTATACACCGAGAGGTATTTTCCGTTCTCGATGTATATACATTGAGTGTAAACTTTGGATCTGGCTACATGTAGAGGGAAGGTATACTTGCTGGTTGGTCAGTAAGCACTTGTGGTTGCCTAAATATCCCTCCAAAGGTTGATCGGTCTTCAGCCCAATACCAAACTGTTCGAGGAGAGTTCGAATTTATCAGCTGTAAGTCGTGGGCAGAGTTTTTCATTCATAAAAGTGGTAGCAGCCATTTTATATTTTGGTGCTAGGCCTATCAACCATGGATGGGTTATTGCTGACGATATATTATTAGGTTGGGTTACCGTTACCTGTGGCAGGTGGCTACAGGTGACGGATCTCCCAATCGTCAGCACTCCAGGTGCAAACTTTGTGAGCAGGAACTGCGGCACGATCTCCCACACTACATCACCAAATGCCCAGTTATTAGACCATTCAGTCCCGTTGGCATGAGGTACCTGGAATTTTGCAATTACTTTATTCACTCTCGTGTTCTTGAAGATATCCTCATATTGCACACAAAATTTGCCAGTGCAGACTACTGAACATATGGCCCTGTATGACTAACCATCCTGCGAGATGGAGACTCAGTATCACAGCTACCTTATTCACTCTTGTGTTCATGATATCCTCATAATGCACCCAGAGTTTGCCAGTGCAGAACATTTATCACATGCCTCTGTATGACTAGCTATCCTGTGTGATGGGGATTTTTTAGCATCACAGAGCTAGCTTTTTGACACACTGTACTCCCCTTCATATAGTCTAGGGTAGCTGCACAAATGCACATTTACCTAAATGTGTTAATAAAAAAAGATTCCTAAGGAAACCATATAGTAATTTTACTCCCCCTTAATATTATATTTAATGAAAGGGAAGAGAGGCAAAGCAAGGAACACGGGGGGAGGGTCTTGGTAAGGAAGGGGGAAGAGGGTATTGGTGGAGAGGGGGGGGGTGGGGAGAAAAAGGGGGAGGGGTCCAGGATACTCCTCCTTTTATTATTTACATTTACACCAGCAGACGGTTCCGTAAGTTTAATATCGAGTATGTTTGCTCACGATACTCCTATATGTTTTTGTGTAGCCATCATTGCTTCCACCAGACGGCTTTCTGAGTCCCCTATTTGTGTGCGAGACCAATAACACGTTCAGGCGAATTGTTAAAACATTGTTAAACAAGAGAAATTGGTGTGGTTCGACTCGTCTATCAACCGCCAGTTTACACAGCTGGCTACTGACAGATTGGGAGAGAAAGATGTGTTACTAACAGAAACTTGGAAAATATCTGTTGAAGAAGAGAGCTAAACAGAACACCTGTAACTCATTAATGCGTTCTTAATCATCAGTTGGTTCTACTCATCAGTCTCTTATTTGCTGGTTATCATCATCAACAGCTCACTGATTAGTTCAATAAGAATTCACATAGATAGATCTTCAGCAGGAAAACATAAGTTCAAATATTTTTTAAAGACGTTATTTTCTCACTTGAGGTAACGTATATATTCTTCTTCCCAGGTTTAATACCCATACCAATTTATTTTCAATTATTGAATATCACCTCTTAACTAATTATATTACGTTATCTGTGGCCTGAGCAATGCAGTAACGCGATAACTTGTTTGGGGCGGAAGTTGGCTCAGTATCCTTACCTCTGAGCCAGACCCACGCTCGCTATGTTGGCACTAGTATTGTTTCCCCCCTTGATCGTCGTCTCTGAAAATAAAAGAGGGAATGGTGATTCTCCAGATTTGGTTATCACTCACTCATGGTTATCTTAGCCGTAGTCATCTAACAGCCTAGGTTAAGTCGCCTCTCTTAATTTTGTGTCTCAGATCGGGTATTCTGAGTTCAAATCCCAGGAGGGACAGAAATGGTTAGGCTCGTTTCCTATCACCTTACGCTTCTGTTCACCTAGCAGTAAATGGGTACCCAGGAGTTAGTCAGCTTGTTGTGGGGTTGCATCCTGGGGAGGGTCAGTAGTTCCACCTTGGGGGTTACCTCGAAATAACCTAACGTGTGCGTGTGTATAAATATAGAAACATTATATATATATATATATATATATATATATATATATATATATATATATATATATATATATATATATATATATATATATATATATATATATATATATATATATATATATATATATATATATATATATATATATATATATAAATAATGTAATATACATAAAAAAATATTTAATTATCTAACGAAATAAAAATGATCTCAAGTGGGTGCTTTCATTGTTTTAGCAGCAGTAAGACCTGAACATTTAGAGTAGAGGCGAGTGATTATACACCACCCTTGTGTAATGACTAAGAATTAAGGCGATTGTTGGTACTAAGGAGTGTGTGTGTGTGGGGGGGGGGGTAGGTGGAGGAGGGGTAATTAGAGGGGGAGATTATGGAGTGTGTTTGGGAACGATGTGGTGTGTGTGTGCTAAGGTGAAGGCACTGGTTTTTGGGGTGGGTTGGGGTTTGGTTGAGTGGGGGTGGGTTGGGGTTTGGATGAGTGGGGGTGGCTGGGTTGGAACGTAGTTAAGTGGGGATGGAAGAGGGTAGGAGAGAGTATATGGTGGTTTGGGTAATGGAGTGTGTGCGATTAGGCCTTTATCTACCTATACTCACCTAGTTGTACTTCCACGGATTGAGCTCCAGCTCTTAAGAGGGGGCCCACCTTTTAACCTTTAATCAACGCTCGGCTCCCAGACAAGACCAGGTATGGGGTAATTTACATCAGAATGCTGCTTTACTACTTCGAATGCAGTTGAATATCACTTGGCAAAACATTACCTTATATACACTGCACACGAAGAGGAGGAAAATGCGGTAATTAAGGTTACACGCTACCGAACCTTTTCCCTCCCACCTCTCCAAGAAATATATATTCATTCATAAGTGAATACCTTATTTTTCGGTGTATGTACACCGATAGTTTACTCCGGTCTTGGATTATGTCCAGGGCTATGTATACTTGCTGGTTGGTGCGTAAGCTAGTGTCACGGCCTCAATAACCCGCGTGTTACTGATAGGCATTAAGCCCAATATCAGACCTAACCCCCACACTCTTTACCTCTGTTTTATCGCAGATGCTTGCCTTATAACTCTTTCAAATGCTATGTACTCTTACTGGATTAACGCCTACTCCTGATAATTACTTTACCTTCCCTCCCCTTCCCACACACCAGGTGGGGGACAGACTGCCAACTGGCTAAACCTCTCTTATGGTTTAGTGCTTTGAGAGGCTTCGCTGACACAGACGTCAGCTCGGAACCTTGGACTTTCGTTGCTGATCGAATGAGACGTAAAATAAGAAAATATCACTTTCACAGTCCATTCTCATCAACATTGCCACCTACCTATGGGCAGAGTTTTCTTAAACCCTATGCCCCTGTTACCTAGCAGTAAAATAGGTACCTGGGTGTTAGTCAGCTGTCACGGGCTGCTTCCTAGGGGTGGAGGCCTGGTCGAGGACCGGGCCGCGGGGACACTAAAAAGCCACGAAATCATCTCAAGATAACCCCATACTCTGTTCATGAAAGAACACCACTTTACACATAACAGTTGATTATTTTCATGCACATTTTGGATCGTGTGCTTTGCTTTCGTTCTGTGTTCGAATCGCACCTCTAAAGTCTTCACGCAAGCATTGCAAATATTGAGTATCATAAACATAACCAAAACGCCTTACCTAACCTATTCAAAGGTCTATGCACAAAATGATAAGGCACATTATTAATTTATATATGAGAAAACACCGTTTTTGGTAACACGTTAAGTTAAGATTGGCGAATGATTCTGTGGGGTGTAAGCTGTAGCTATGGCTAGCCTCTCAAAAGTCTTTCGTCTCACAGTGAATCATTTGTTATAGAGGTACTCATTTATCCACTGGAGCGTCCTTCATGCCACTCTTTACCATGTTTTCCGTCTTGTGAACAAGTCTCCTATGTTGTTGTAGGGGGTTGACTGCCCTGTTAGCCCAAACATATCCAATCCGCCACCCTTTTCTAGTCTAATCTCGATCTTGGAACACTTCTCAAGCTTGTGAGGCAGGATTTACCATACATGAAATCATGTTTGTGTTATTTTTTACTCTCTTATTTTATAATGACACAGGCTTCTCTCTCCAAATGTTCTTCTTGCCTCTTGTGATAACTTCCATCATCTTGAGAACTGGTCTGTAGATTAGTGAATCATGTATGTTTCCCCCTTTTATATATTGGCACTACATTGTCTGTCTTACAGCCCTCTGGCAGTTCTGTTTGCAATGACTTGACTATCATAGTACGCGGCCAGCACAAAGCTTCTGCACGTTCTCTTAGTATCCATGCTAAGATATGTGAGCCTAAAACCTCAGTTGTAACCAGCTCCAGAAGTAAATTTTTATTTCATCTGGTTATCACAAATTCCTGCAGTAATATTTGATTTGATGCTGTCCATTTCATTTCAAGAACGAATGCTAACTCTATTGTGAAAACCTCCTATACTCTCTTGTGGAGTTCTTCTCACACTTCTGTCATTATCAGTGAAAGAGTTCTCACCGGTTCTCATTTTTATCACTTGCTCATTATTGGTTGTATTTCCCTTGATGCGCTCCTGAATCAATTTTGCAGATATAGCAAAGGCTATATCAGCAATGTCGCAAATTGCCTTTTTGCTCCCTTTTCACATTGAGCTACTCATTTCTGGCTCTTTTGTACCCCTCAGTACTCTCTACTGTATTTTTGTCCTTATAGTGTTTTTTATGCTCTCATTCCTATGTGCTTTTCTCTTTTCCATCCCCTGGTTAAACAGTGGGGGTAGTACTATGCCTTTCACTTGGAGTATGGGTGGGGGGCATGGAGGTTGGGGCCTAATAGTATATACTCACTTAGTTGTGCTTGCGGGTGTTGAGTTCTGGCTCTTTGGTCCCGCCTCACAACCGTCAATGAACTGGTTGTGCAATACCGGTTGATGTTATATGTTGAGGCAATAATGTGTGTGTGGATCGAGGAGAGGTAGTGTGTTGGGACGAGTGTGTGATGAGGTGAGAGGCCATAGGAAGTGTGTGAGGGGTAGTGTTTGTTTCACCTAGTTGTGCTTGCGAGGGTTGAGCTCTGGCTCTTTCGGCCCACCTCTCAACTGTCAATCAACTTTTTTTCTCGCACACACACACGGTTATCCTTGTGTGTGTGTGTGTGTGTGTGTGTGTGTGTGTGTGTGTGTGTGTGTGTGTGTGTGTGTGTGTGTGTGTGTGTGTGTGTGTACGCGTAGCAATATTGATTACTCCTGGCACGTAGCAGAGGTCTCGGTGTATTAACGAGCGTCCCTGCAGTGGCTTCATGCTACCCAGACTACCAGATTACCTAGACTACCTAAACTACTCAAACCACCTAGCCATCAGATGTTTTCGCCTCGAAGAGGAAGTAATAGTGATAATGGTGAAGAAATTTACAACACCCTTGGGAACCTATAGTGCCTTCTTGCCTTCACCTTCAGCCCCCCGGTCGCTTGCAGTCCATTAGTATATCTTTACATGCACACATTTCCTACCTCTTAATCAAGGATATATATACACTTAGAGGTGTACCCTGCTTCATTGTGTATACTCTGTGAGTTTACTTTATTTCTGGATGATGTATAGACGTCAAGTACACCAACTGGTTGGTCAATCAGCAATTGTGATGGCCTTAATAACCATCTAGAGTCTAGAGATTGATAGGCATTAAATCCAGGATCAAAGTATACCTTTCCTAATCCGACGATCGCACAGAATTCATCTGTTGGTTATGGCCAGTCATCAGTCAGGCATCATTGCGTACAGAGACATTGATTGAATTTCATGTTTTTCCTGTAATTTGAAGAGATGCGGTTGGGTTTCAGAATTTCGTACACATGCTCCCCACACGCACGCAATATGCACCAACACTCATGCACATTTGGACCCAGACGCAAACTTCAAAGTTGCTTTTAAATACATGGATGGCGATGTACTAAATAAATTGTTCACGACTTTTGTTAGGCCAAAGCTAGAATATGCAGCGGTTGTGTGGTGCCCATATCTTAAGAAGCACATCAGCAAACTGGAAAAGTTGCAAAGACATGCTACTAAGTGGCTCCCAGAACTGAAGGGCAAGAGCTACGAGGAGAGGTTAGTGGCATTAAATATGCCAAAACTAGAAGACAAGAAAAAGAGGTGATATGATAACTACATACAAAATAGTAACAGGAATTGATAAAATCGATAGGGAAGATTTCCTGAGACCTGGAACTTTAAGAACAAGAGGTCATAGATTTAAACTAGCTAAACACAGATGCCGAAGAAATATAAGAAAATTCACTTTCGCAAACAGAGTGGTAGACGGTTGGAACAAGTTAGGTGAGAAGGTGGTGGAGGCTAAGACCGTCAGTAGTTTCAAAGCGTAATATGACAAAGAGTGCTGGGAAGACGGGACACCACGAGCGTAGCTCTCATCCTGTAACTACACTTAGGTAATTACAAAAAAACTTGTCTGTACTTATTTCATACACAGTTTGATATGTAAATAAGCTAAGTATTAAAAAAAAGTGTAAATAAGGGTCCTTGCTCGACCCTGCAAGCACATCTAGGTGAGTATACACACACACGCCTCTGACGGTTGAGAGGCGGGACCAAAGAGCCAGAGCTCAACCCCCGCAAGCACAACTAGGTAAGTACAACTAGGTGAGTACATGTTCGATCCAGCAGGCACAAATAGGGTGAGTACACACCCGCCTCTGCAGTCACCGTACGGCAAAACAGGTATGGTGGAATGCAAGCGACGGTCACCTTCTATTTTGGAGAGTACTGGGAAGGTGAATCAGTTGTCCGGGCTCTGAGACCAGCTGCTCTAGGCTACCATGTTGCCTCGCCACCACCGCAACCCGTCCTCCTAACAGAACGTCGCATTTTGACGTATACTTTACCTAAAAGCCAAAAATTGTTGTATTAGAAAATGGTAGCGGTGCGTGAAAGTGACATAATGCTCCGTTTTTTGTTTTGGGTTCTCTGGTAGGTTAGAATAAGGGCACTTTAGTACAGTAGCTTCTTGACGTTGGGGAAACCTTAGGAGGGTCGGCTGAGCACCGAGAACTACCTAAGTAACCCCACATCAGTCTGCCAAAACCTGCATAAGCTACAAAGTCTATTTAGGACATTTTGAAGAAGGAAACTAGAAGGAAACAAATACAGTTGCTCTTAAACAGCTCTACACTTCAATAAGAAGACTATTCCCTTATGGCTGTAAACCATTCGTTATAATCCATCATATAATTTGACTGTTGCCGCCGGAGGCGGCTAGTTTATTGTGCACCCCATACTTACCTTGTGAGCGGTAGCGCAAAAAGCATTACAGAGGGCACAAAAGGTCTTTATCAGACCTCATCTTAGATTATTACATAAACAATTTCATCTATCCTTCACACCTTATAATTACAATGTCAGCTAGTTACAGAGAATGTTCTATTTCAAGAGCTATATATTTACAGTAAGTCATTATACATACATGGTAGGTCTTATCGCTAATACAAAATTATATAACGCAGCATACATCCTGTAGGAATATATGAATATTAGGACAAGTGTTTGAATCACGGGAAGATGGTTAAAAGTCACGGGGCCGCTCCCTCAGGATAATATCTCGCCCATGTCACTGCCAGGATCATTCCTGAGACCAAAAAAAGGCCCCAGGTCCTCCTGTGCCGGTGGAACATGAGAGGGTTAGCAACAGAGGCAGAGGACTGCAGTGCCCGCCAAGCTCAGCAGGCCGCTGGCTATCTTCCTAGTTGCCGAGAACTAAACGACATTCATTGGTTTACGAAGCAATTTATCACGGAAATGTCACAAGAAGTACGCTCTCTCTCTCTCTTTGTATATATATATAAGAATGGGGGTGGTAGGAGAAGAAAATATTAAAGTGTTCAGTGAGAATCCACACGGTTTTCTCTGAATACTCCTTATTTTCTTCTCCGAGGCTGTGGGTCCCCACATTTGCACCAGAGGTGGTACCCTCACAACTTATATATATATATTTATATATGCAGCAATGAACATAAAAACATTCTCTATTTTGATAGGGAAGAGATGACGGTGTTGGCTTCATTGTCTATTTTGTTCTGAAGGCGAATTGAGCCGAAAACACGTTTAACATTTTCAAATTTTTCACATGTGGTTTTTCCGTATATATATATATATATATATATATATATATATATATATATATATATATATATATATATATATATATATATATATATATAATATAAAATGTTGTACCTAGTAGCCACAACGCTGTACTCGACCCGATTTGCCTAATAAGCCAAGCTTTCTTGATTTCATAGATTTTTATTTCTTCTTGTGAAATGATAACGCTATCCATTTCATTATTTATGAGATCATTTTTTTTAATTTGAGTTAAAACTAACGTAGATATATGACTGAACCTAACCTTCGCTACCTAACCTAAGTCAATAATTTATGTTCTTAATATAATATATAATATTTCTTACATGCCTACTGTGCTCACCTTGCATGGAGGAAGTGACCCTATACCTGACTGAAAATGCCTGTATTGAGCAGGTGAGCTCCAGAATCCTGTAAGCCGGGTGGAGCGGAGCCAAGCCACCTGGTGCACCACTGGGACTCTAGTGTACCCCAGACGTGGTACACTTCTATACAAACCTCCACATGTACCTGCCAGGCGACCGGATATTTATACCTCCTTGTTTATTCTCTGCTTAGAGACTTTATAATTTTAAAATTTTGTTGTGGCACATGCAACAGTTTGTGCATCAGCGCTTTGCAATGGCGACACAGTTTTGTTAATGTTTCTCAAGAGTATGAGTGGGTCATTTTTAACACTCTTAAGTGTACGCTCTTTATGTACCCTTGAGAATTGGTGGTCACATTATTGGCTTTGTTCTTTGAGCGCCGGCTGTGGATCTCTGTCCCCATTGTACTTGGTTTGGGACCGCCTTATGTTTGGTTTGGGACCGCCTTATGTTTGGATTGGGACCGCCTTATGTTTGGATTGGGACTGCCTTATGTTTGGTTTGGGACCGCCTTATGTTTGGTTTGCGACCGCCTTATGATTTTTTGGGACCGCCTTATGTTAGGTTTGCGACCGCCTTAGGTTTGGTTTGGGACCGCCATATGTTTGGTTTGGGACCGCCTTAGGTTTGGTTTGGGACCGCCTTATGTTTGGATTGGGACCGCCATATGTTTGGTTTGGGACCGCCTTAGGTTTGGTTTGGGACCGCCTTATGTTTGGATTGGGACCGCCTTATGTTTGGATTGGGACTGCCTTATGTTTGGTTTGGGACCGCCTTAGGTTTGGTTTGGGACCGCCTTTTGTTTGGATTGGGACCGCCTTATGTTTGGTTTGGGACCGCCTTATGTTTGGTTTGTAATCGCCTGCTGTAGTTTGAGGACTGCCTTCTATGGGTCGGTACTGCCTATTGTAGTTTGGGATCGCTTGCTGTTGTTTGGGACAATCTGCTGTGGTTTGCAATTGTGGATTGGTATCGAGCCTATTAACTAGGGAAGGGTTATTGAAGCTAAAACAGCAGCTTACTGACCAATCGGCAAGTATACTTTAGTCCTGGACATAACCCAGGACTGAAGTTAACTCTGTGTATATACATCGAGAAACGGGTTACACATATCCCTGTACAAATCCCCCTGGTGGTTATGTACCACCTTTTCTGTCGTTATTAAACCTAAATATTGACAGGCCTTGTGTGGCAGTTGTCTAGAAGTTTAACCTGTCGTTAAGCTACTCTCTGCCATCTGGGAGATAATCGTGTATACATTTCGCAGATGTACATAAAAACACTAACTACGTCGTACACATACACACAAACACACACCCTCACACTTCAAAAAAGCTGGACTTAACGTCGCTAGAGGGAGAGAGAGAGAGACATAAAATATTAGGTGGATTGACCGAGTGGAAAAGAGGAAATATTCTCATTTAATACCAGTAGAACAAAATAACATTGAAGGTTGAGAAACAGATGGGCCATTGAAATGTTAAAAAAAATATTTTTGTTATCCTAAGATTGGTAGAATATAGAGTGAACTGAACGCGCCAATAAGTGAAGCTAACTTCAGTCATAATTTTAGAAGTACATACGATGTAACAAATAGACCCAGAGCCATTGCATTAAACATACTGGCAGCGAGAAAAGTGAGTTCCAAGACCTGAAACTTGATTCAGTAGGTACAAATGACTACAAAAAGGTCAGTACACACATTCACACACACGCGCGCGCGCCTGCAATGACACGTAAAAGCATAATGAAATACTTCAACCCTCTCTGGGTGGCCAACAAGTGGAATCCTCTGAAAGAAGTTGTAGAAGCCACCTCCATCCATAACTTTAATGTTAGATTCGACAAAGGTTTAGAACATCAGAATAGTTCAGTTATATGCAGCAGGCACAACAAGGCTAGTAGGCGAGACATAAATAGCCAGACCTCGACGCCCGCAGTCACTAATAGTTTCTCACTGATAGATGAAGATCGCTGACACGCGAGCTAAAGAAACAGCAAGTAATCTTACATAAACCACGAAGAATAGTTTACGACACACGTTAAAGAAATGTAAATATAATAGATTCTTAAATTTAGAGAAAGGGAGAATGTAAGCGTGTGAATGCGCCGTGTTAGAGCAGAACGCGAGGCTCTAAGAATTTGGGGGGTAGACAGACCCTCCACAACGACAGTATCCGTGACGAGTATTTCTGCCTCGAGGCAGTAGCTGGACAGTGACGTTCTGAGAGAGTGCCAGCCAGAGTGGCAGTAGGAGGCAGACAGAGCCCCGTCCTTGACATTGTCAGTGTATTGGCCTTGGAGGCGTTCAGTGGAGGTCTGGCCCTGGCTTCACCACCCGCCAAACCCTGCCCAACATCGCTGGGCAAACACCCTCTGGATATTCAGTCGCATCTTTATAACATTGATCCTGACTGGTCGACCAACCTAGTTATATATTGACCAAATGACGAGTTATGTCTGTTTTTTTCGCCTATAATATAATAAATTTTGGTTAAGAAAAATGTACACATTATATTACATTCTATGAATGCATGGCATAAAATTGCTATTTTTTAAAGGCTCTTATGACCTCCAGCATTTCGGGCAAATTATAAAAAAACACAATTGGTCAAATCTTAAGATTAACCCAGACAACCAGGAGCACGATGCACCATGGCGTACCTGGTTGGTTCCTTAACCACTCGACCACCGTGACTGTACAAAAGTCATTGGTAGCCGAAGCTATATCCCCAACGACCCGACAGCACTTGGTAGTAAGCTTGGGCATAGATATTTCATCGAATCACCTCACTTTGTGAGGCCACGTGAGCAAGACAAATGGAACAAGCTTGAATGATCCCCAAGCCATTTTGTATAGATGAAATATGCAGTGAATTTAAGTGTTTATACAGTACAGTATGATTTTGAGTGTGTAAATTATCACATATCACATATATTAATGAAAGCTTATGATGAAGCAGATAGTACTGTAATAATTATATTTATTCCCATGCACGTATGCAGATTGCCTCTTAGTAATCAATTTATTACCACTGATGAAATTTTAAAGTGGATTTAGTGATGACTGGAGAGATGATTGGTGACAGAGGTCAAAGTTCAAGGTTTGGTCAAATGTAAGTCAAACTTTCGAGCCAAGATAAGCCCAAGGGTCAAAGTTACAAATCAAGAATACAGGACAGTTGACATTATTAAAGACAAAAGATACAACCCTATGAAATACCTCAGGGTAACAGCGCAAAATTACAGGGCAATGTTAGAGGTATCACCGATTGTTACTGGTTAGTACAGCAGGATAAGGATATAGACGCCATCCCTTTGTAGCTTTAATCTATCATATCATGTCACTCTTTCAGACCTTTCACGCCACCAGAAGAATCCAGTAGGGTCAAGCCCTGAAGCTATCTCTTCTCTGAACCTTTTTTGTTTTCTCTTCGCACTTCACTTCTGATCTGAATTGCAGCTTTACTGATGACCTGTTCACAATCAGTGAATAAAACTTTACGTAGCAAAACTCATTTGATTCTCTTTTTAGGGAAAACTTATAAACTTGAAAGGCGAAACACCCCGTAGTCTTCCCTGGGAGATCCGCCAGCGTCAATTCTATGTCTTAGAAATCAATTCTTAGTACGTGTAATTTGCACTGAGTGGGAATACAAGTTCACAACGTAACTCTGCGATCCTAAAGTTCGATACTCCGTCGGTTGCTATGAAGGCCAACTTCGCGAGGATGATTTCAGAGAAGCTGTGAAGGCCGACTATAAAAGAGTGAGTCCAGATGAGCTATGAAAGCCGACTTCGAGAGGGTCATCTGAGGACTACAGAGCAGAAAACAAAACAACGTGAGATCGACCAACTCTTGAAGAGTAGTCAGACTCGGCTGCTGCTGTTTTATAGAATATTTATCGTGATCTTATACACCCTCGTAGCCTGGTGGATAGCGCGCAGGACTCGTAATTCTGTGGCGCGGGTTCGATTCCCGCACGAGGCAGAAACAAATGGGCAAAGTTTCTTTCACCCTGAATGCCCCTGTTACCTAGCAGTAAATAGGTACCTGGGAGTTAGTCAGCTGTCACGGGCTGCTTCCTGGGGGTGGAGGCCTGGTCGAGGACCGGGCCGCGGGGACACTAAAGCCCCGAAATCATCTCAAGATAACCTCAAGATAACCCTGCCAAATGCCTTCGTGAGACATTATCCCTAGTACCCATGAGGCCTAATTTTACAAATCTGACACATTACTAATTTTAGAGTTATGACAAATCCATATTTCAACTCGTCATTCCATTCGTTTTCATTCTTCTTTCATCTAAGGATTGCTGCACATGTTTATTTGCATTCGATATTGTATTTCATTATAAAAATTATTTTAACCCGGCCTATTTAATACAATTTAATATTGTCCTCATCTCTTATTTTTACATTGCTCTCTTTCCAATTATTAGTAAGTCAACAGCACTTCAGCTTGACTTCTGAGCACACCGAGACTTTGTCAGTGAAGCCTTTTCTTGCATGGTGTTATATGTGTTGATATAAACACGGTCAAAAAGCGCCTCACATGAACCTCTTCAAGCAATGCCTCGACTGTGGATATATTTATGTCAAAGCAAGTGTTGGTACGAAGCTTTGACTAATTGACGAATTCAGCTTGCATGTGATATCAGCTTTTGTGAATTAATTACCGGTTACTCTCGGTTTTTGCAGTTTGTGGGGGAGAGTTATGGTTAGGTTTTATAGTGAGAGGAAGCAATCCTCCCTGTTAGAGTTTAATCGGAGGATCCATTATTATTATTATTAACATCTTTATTGACAAAATTAATTACAATTTTGCCTAATCTGAGGATTTTGATAGTCTTATTAAATTGAGGATCACTGAAGGTGGAGTTAGCTTCATTCTACAGTAGTGCATTGTTGGAGTCCTTGTGTTTCTTACATCCCTAATTTGTAACCTCTTTCTCTCTGCCTATCTACGTTACAACTCAGCGGAGGGAGGTGGGGCAGCCACCTTCAGGAAGACCCAGAAAATCAACAAGTACAGAGACCTAGAACGTTGTTACAGGTTCGTGCCGATAGGCTCTGAGACTCTGGACGCCTGGGGTAAATGTGCACTTAAGTT